ACCACCAAAAGCACCTTCTATGGGAACATTTGCATGAGAACTGAACCCAGGAGCAATGGAAGAAGGTTGCCTGATCTGCTAAATCATGTTTTCCTTTAGATTGCATGGATGGCGGTTGTGTGTGCATTGTTTACCTGGGGGAGAGGTGGCAGCAGTATGCACTATGGGAAGAAAGCAGGCTGGCAGATGCCCTGGACTATTTTCTGCTGGGAAACCTTGGGACCTATGACATGTACCACCAAATTAGAGATTGTTGCACACCACATACATCTTTTCATGGCAATGGTGTTGCAGTGTTCTTCTCATTTACAGCAGTATAATGCACCCTGCCTCACTGCAAAGATTATTCAGGAATGACTTGATGGACAAGACAAATATTTCCAAGTGTTGCCTTGGACTCCAAATTCCTGTGGGATGTGGTGGAACAACAAATCCGATCCATGGATGTCCCACCTCAAAACTTGCTAATGTCTACCACAGAACGCATTCAGAGGTCTTGTCGAGTCCATGCCTTAATGAATCATAACTGTTTGTCTGTAAGTTTGCGGCTGATCAGTGTATATTAACATTTATGCATAGATCATATGGCTCACAAAAGTAGTAAGAAGGCTTTTATATGATTAGTAATATTATATTACAATTAATATAGTAAATTAATACAACAGATAGGATGGGGGTCTATTTACTAAACAGCAGAATGTGTTGGACTGATTCAGTTTTCTTTGATTCAGTACATCTGAAGTGTTGTATAATTCTCCTCTCACCACCAATACTCTGTGTTGTGCATCAATAATGATCTTTCAAAAACTAATACATAACTTTAGCCCCTTGTCCAGATAAATATATGTTTAGTACTCCTAAGGTATTCTACTTAACATTACAATTAAACAGTCAGAACAACGATTCTTAACAGATAGTAACATTAATTACAATTTTCCCAATTAAATATTACAAAACAACACAGTTACACAGTTTTAGAATTACAGTATATTAATAATAATCACACATTCCATCTAACTAATAATATCTGCTGTATTGTGTATGTGTTAGGTGGGTGTTGTGTAAAGTGTGACTTACCAACCTAGTCTAATGTGATATTAGTATATTCTTTATTTAAGGGGATTTGTTTCCATATTGTACATAGCTAACTGAATTGATATGTAAATAGAAACATAGACTGTGATGATGTGTAAAGTTTGACTACCAACCTAGTATAATGTGATATTAAAAAAATTTTTATTTAAGGGGATTTGTTTCCATATTGTACATAGCTAGTCAAATTGATATGTAAATAGAAACATAGAATGTGATGACAGATAAGAGCAGTTTGGCCCATCTAGTCTGCCCAATATTCTAACTACCTTCATTAGTCCTTGGTCTTATCTTATCTAGGATTAGACCACTAGGGACTAACCAAAAACAGGCACTTATAAAGATGTTTACTTCTTAGTGAGACCTCAATATTATTTGACTTTACCTTCAGTTACCCCATTAGAACTTTAGTCCCACCATATCATTGAGACCAACTATATTGCCCTACCTATTCAGACAAACTATTGTACCTTTTGGCACAACCCTTTTCCTGTATTTCTTTGTGTGACATGTTCTCTCCTCAGAGGGTTTGAGGGTTACCTTTTGTTGGGCCGCTGCCTCCCTTACTTCAATTTTATTAGCGCTGACCATGTTCTTATCTTTATATATATAATAGCCTAATGACTATCCCATGCATGCTTAATCTCCTGCACTTTGTTAACCTCTACCACTTCAGCTGGAAGGCTATTCCATGCATCGACTACCATCTCAGTAAAGTAATACCACTACCCGCTCAGTAAAGTAATAGATGTGCTTTTCTTTCCCAAGGCACAAAGTGTTGTCCGTCTATCCATTTTATTTTCAAAGGATGCAAATGTGCGTTTCATGAGCTCTACACTCCCCTCTACCATTGGTGTGATTTCCTAAGCAAATACCTCTTTCAAGCCTAAATGACATGTAACTTTCCCAAGGCACACATTGTTGACAATCCTGTAGTTGTTGGGGCTGTATCTTTCTCTAAATAGAGATGTATGTTTCTATTTTCCCCTTATCTTAAAACTAACCTTAATCAAGCACAGATAAGATACATAATCATCATATTTTTTCCAGCATGACAGATATTTCATATTTAGCTCTTTTGCCCTACAATTTTGAAGGTGGAGTGAATATCACCACAATTATCTGTCTAGTGATAAGACCCCTTAGCATATAATCATGAGTTAATTATTGCAACGCCTCTTTTCAAATAATTCTATTCATGAAAGATGAAATTGCAAATTATAATGTAACTTGATACTAATAAACTGTTCTGTAGAACATTTTTAAAATTATAATTTCTATATTGTTCAGCACAAAACAATTCTAATTATTTAAGAACATATTCTTCCTTAAAATAAAAATTAAAATTCTGTATAATGGATACATTTGAATGTACTTTTTGATCATTTCTACTTACATCTTATAATAATAAAAGTGCTTCTATATTCTGCAAATTGGTGTTAATGTTTTTGGAAAGCCTTTTCAGTAAGTACAGATATATGGAACAAGCTTACTTACACTTTTCTTGTGAAGTGTCATTGATACGCAGCCAAGATAACTCTGAAATGTGTAGAAATAGTAACTGCTAATGTTTAAGAGGCTACTGTTTCAGATCAGTCTCAAAAAGTGCTTTTTTTAAAAAAAATTAAATTCTTTATTTTTCTTTGTACATGTGTGAACAGACAGCATTTGATCTTGCAGTGCCACAGCAGCGACTGCAGGCTTATCTTGAACAATGAATTGATATGGCATGCATTTAGACAGCACAATTTTTGTGTTATTATGTCATGCTAAATAGTGATGTCCTGAACGGTTCGCTGGTGAATAGTTCCCGGCGAACATAGCATGTTCGCGTTCGCCACGGACGGCGAACATATGCGATGTTCGGTCCGCCCCTATTAATTTACTAATAATAAATAAAAATTACTTAGTATTAGTAAATTGTGCCCCGTAGGGGCATGTCTATTAAACAGTGAGCAGCCTGTGGCTGCTCACTGTTTAAAAAAAAAGGGTCCCCCCCGGTGGGGGCCCTAAATACTAATAGGGGGGGACCTGTTGTCCTCCCCCCAGCCCCCACCCCTGAGCGGTGGGTGGGGGCCCTAAAAATAACAATAAGGGGGGACCTATTGTCCCCCCCGGCCCCCACCCCTGAGCGGTGGGTGGGGGCCCTAAAATGAACAATAAGGGGGGGACCTATTGTCCCTCCCCGGCATCCACCCCTGAGCGGTGGGTGGGGGCCCTAAAATGAATAAGGGGGGGACCTATTATCCCCCCCCACCCCCACCCCTGCGCGGCGGGTGGGGGCAATATTGATAATGAGGGGGGACCTACTGCCCCCCAGGCCCCCACCCCTGCGCGGCGGGTGGGGGCCATATTGATAATGAGGGGAGGGACCTACTGCCCCCCCGGCCCCCACCCCTGCGCGATGGGTGGGGGCCATATTGATAATGAGGGGGGGACCTACTGCCCCCCCCGGGCCCCCACCCCTGCACGGCGGGTGGGGGCCATATTGATAATGAGGGGGGGGACCTACTGCCCCCTCAGGCCCCCACCCCTGCGCGGCGGGTGGGGGCCATATTGATAATGAGGGGGGGGACCTATGGCCCCCACCCGCCACGCAGGGGTGGGGGCCGGAGGGGGCAGTAGGTCCCCCCCCTTATTGTTATTAGGGCCCCCACCCGCCGCGCAGGGGTGGGGGCCGGAGGGGGCAGTAGGTCCCCCCCCTCATTATCAATATGGCCCCCACCCGCCGTGCAGGGGTGGGGGCCCGGGGGGGGCAGTAGGTCCCCCCCTCATTATCAATATTGCCCCCACCCGCCGCGCAGGGGTGGGGGTGGGGGGGGACAATAGGTCCCCCCCTCATTATCTTTATGGCCCCCACCCGCCGCCCAGGGGTGGGAGGAGAGTAGGTCTCCTCCCCCCCCCTTCAACCAGATAGAGTCCCTGTGTGTTTTAAAATTTGCCTGCCCATTGAAGTCTATGGCGGTTTGCCGGGTTCGCCCGGTTCGCGAACATTTGTGGAAGTTTGCGTTCGCGGTTCGCGAACCGAAAATTTCATGTTCGCGACATCACTAATGCTAAATTATCTTTCTATATATGAACTATATCTTAATGCTAAAACTATGCTTCCAGGCAAAAGTTTTCAGGCAGTCCAATAACGTGCATGGTAATTAGTAGAGTGAACAGTTACATGTCTGCAAATAAACTATGGGCTGGAGCTTGTAGCAGAGTAGTAACTCAGGAAAGATTCAGTTACAGGACATGTCAGTCGATGGGCTGAGAGTCATTACACTACAGCATGTTACATATTTGACTTTGTATATGCATTAGATACTTCTTAAAGCAGTTATAACAATAAGTAAGCATGTGAGTAATCAAAAAACAAGCTATTTAACTCCACTGGATCCTTGCATGAGAGTCACTCTTATCCCCTGGTCCTGCTCCTGTGGGCTGTTGGAGGTAATAAGCTGTGGGGCATGCTTGGTCCACCCTGGTGAGAGGGTATGTTGGCTGGGCTCATGGTACAATGTAAGGTAGGTAGGTAGTAATGTAGGTAGTCAAGTGTCTCTGTGAGACTAAGCAATGTGACAATGACCAGTTCATCTGTGCCCCATGCTGATCGTGTTGTGCCCTCTCATTCCGTTTCTTACCCGGCGGACGCGTTTACCTCTCCCCGTTTTGCTGTGATGTAGTGGATGGTCAGTTGGGGACCGAGAGCTGGAGATGTGTCTCGTCCGCTCTCATACCGGTAGGTGAGCTGCTGGGTAGGACCTCGCCCGATATCAGGTATCTGGTCGGTGGAGGCCCAGTTCCAATGGACCTTCCTCCAGGAGTGTAGCGATGCCTTGTGAGGTGCCATGCCATCTGGGTTGCGGCTTGGGCAGGAAAAACCCATAGCAGGTACTTGTATTGCTGGTGCCTCCGTCTCTTTAAGGTGGTGAGGTGTTTTTCAGAGGCTGCATGGCGGCGAGACAGTGCGGCGGCCATTTTACCTTCGGAGCATTGGAGTGCGCCTTGCAGGCCTCGGTAAGGATCGCCTCGGTGCCCTCCAGTGGGGACCGGGATAACCCCCCCGGCCCGGGGGGGGGGAGGGGCCCGTGAGATGCGTTCCAGTGCTGTTGTGTGGCGGTCAAGCAAGCAATTAGGCAGGATGGCGGCCGTCCATCCCGCCTTTCTCGCAGAAAGGTTGCAAACTCCAAAGTCCTGTATGGCCCGTGTGGCCCCAAGACTCCCGATCTCAGAGCCTGCTGTTGTGCCCACTTCAGCTCCGGCTCCGTGAACTTTGCCTCAGGCTCGAATAAAAGCTGTAAGCCTATGTTATCAATCGAAGAGGCCAATTTCTGCAGGAGCCTCTCCCTCATGCGACCGGTCAGCATGGCGGGCAGGCCCCGCCCCCCTCAAAAAGTGCTTTTTTAATAACTTCAAACATCATAACACACATGAATTACCATGTACATATACTATAAAAATATATTATAAAACCATTCCTGCTTTTAAATCTCTGTCTTCTTTTCTTATGACAAGTAAATTGTAATGTAATTTTGGCGTAAACTACGTTTACGAATATTACAATAACATTCAATAAATTTATTGATTCATGTGTTGATGTACAATTAATGAGACCTGATGTTCTGGTCTATTTTATTTCCATTGGAATTTTAACTAAAGCCCTCTTACCACACATATTTTTGCGAATTATTGTGAAAAAAATGAAAAATAAAGCCTTATTCAGAGGTTCCTGCAGTGTTTTAACTTTTCAGTCATCACTCTGGATGAGAAGTATCTGCCTGTCTTCTGCATTGGGTTTCAAATGAATTGGATTTGTCTGAATTTTGGGCAATCTGCAGTTTGTTCAAATTCTGCAACACTGTAGGTGCATGTTAGTCCCATGGGCACCGAGCTGAGCTGAGCTACTAACATTGTCAATGAACTGCGAGATGGTTCCTTTGTAGATGTGTGCTCTTCTGTACACATCACACATCTTGTCAGGGCCGTCTTTAATTTTGATTGGACCCTGGGCAAGCATTTACTTGGGCCCCCTGACTATATATAGATACACACAAATACATTACCTGACACACGTGCAGATACACACTGACCGCATGTAGATACACACAAGAACATACAGATACACACAGACTACATATAGATACACTGACACACACATAGACATACACACAGATATAAACACTGACATACATGCAGATACAAAGGTACACCCATTGACTACATATAGATACACACACACGCACTGACACACATCCAGACACACAGATACACAACCTAAAACACATGCAGATATACAGATACAAACACTGACACATACAGATACACACACAAACGGAAAACATACAGATACAGAGACACATTCTGACAGACGTACTGACACAGACAGTCATACTGAAACACACATACACAAAGACATACTGAACCACACAGACACTGACATACAGATACACTGACAGACATACAGGCACATATACACACAGACAGATGGACATACTGAAACACACATACACACAGACATTGACAGACATATTGACAAACACAGACATACAGAACCACATGGACACTGACAGACTCACACAGACATACTGACAGACATACAGACATTCTGGCACACATACACACAGACAGACATACTGAAACACACATACACACAGACACTGACAGACATACACACGTACAGACATTTTGACACGCACAGACAGCCATACTGAAACACACATACACAAATACATACTGAACCACACAGACACTGACAGACACACACACACACAGATTTTCTGGCACACTGACAGACATACTGGCACACATACACACAGACAGACAGACATACTGAAACACACATACACACAGACACTGACAGACAAACACACATACAGACATTTTGACACACACAGACAGCCATACTGAAACACACATACACACATACATACATACTGAACCACACAGACATTGACAGACTCACACACACACACAGACATACTGACACACTGACAGACATACACACATACACTGACAGACATGCACACACACACAGATATACTGACACACTGACAGACATACACACATATACAGATATACTGAAACACACAGACACTGACAGACTCTCACACACACAGACATACAGATACACTGACAGACATACTGGCACACTAACATACATACACACATACATACTCACACACACACACACACACACACACAGACACTCATGCAAAATTTGATAACCACCCTCCAGTTTCTTACCTTTTTCTGGAGGGTGGCTTCCCTGGGGTTCAGTGGGCTGGCTGGGGTGACTGGGAGCTAAGCTCTCCCGGCCTGGCCCCCTCCGGAACAGCTGGTCCTCCTTCCTCCCGCGCGGCTCCTGTTTCTGTGGGAGGAAGTGACGCGTGGCTGTCACTTCCTCCCAGTGCTGCCGAAAAAGCAAGGGCCCGGTCGCGCTGTTAAAGCGCCACAGCGCCCGACCGGGCCCCTGCTGACACAGGCCCACCAGGTGGCTGTAAGTGCATGGGCCATAGTTTGCGGGCAGAGGGCAAACAGGGCAGTTACCTCGGGCCCCCCAGCAGGGACAGGGCCCGGGGCAGCTGCCCTGTTTGCCCCGCGTTAAAGACGGCCCTGCATCTTGTAGTGAATGTTGCCATTCCAAAAAAGCAACGCAGATGTGCAAACTATACTTGATCATTGCAAGAGGATTGCTAGGCATTTCCACTAAAGCATGACGGCTAGCCAACTCTTAAGGTATGAGCAAAAACAACAACAGGGCTTCCACATGGATGAATCTCGGTTTGTCTGAACCAAATTCTTTTCCTGGACAAATCAATCAGGAATTACCATTTTTTTTTTATTTGCACAAGTCTGGTTAATGCATGGGTTTAAAATGGCAATTACACCTCATAGTTAAAGGAGAAATCTTATCTTGCATAATTTAACACTTGAGTGCTGCTAAACATATTAAAGTTATTTGCTATCCCCTGGTTTGTTACCCACTAGCATGTAAGCTTCCAGCTGAAGTGGTAGAAGTTAATACAGTGAAGGAGTTTAAGCATGCGTGGGATAGACATAAGGGTATCTTAGATATAAGAGACTAATTATTCAAAAGTATTTTAGAAAATTGGGCAGACTAGATGGGCCGAATGGTTCTTATCTGCCGTCACATTCTATGTTTCTATGTTTAGGGCTCCCCTGCACTTTCATGATTTTGCTGATGATTTCACCAGGTACCAGATTTCACTGTTTATTTTCTCAGGATTTAATGTGGGATGTTGTATAACTACTTGAAAGTATTGAAGATGTATTCATTTTATTCAATAGAAATCTGCAATTTTATAATTGGTGGCAGAAACACCTCCCAGGGAGGTATTCATTAACTTCCATTAGCTTCACAGAGCTAATGGAAGTAGTCGACATGCTGTGCTAGCATGCTCATGATGTCCCCCGTCTCAATGAGCTGAATTACATTTCATTGAGAAGCATAGGAAAGGCATGCTTGTAGCTCCAGCGCAGAGGCTTTTCAATTAAAAGCCTTGGATTAAAAGCCTTGGTTAAAAAAGAAAGGGCTTGCAAAGGCTGCAGACAAGAGCAATCTGTTTTTAGATATACCCTTAATGAAAATAAAGAAAAAAAAAGCGTAAATAAATGCATGCATGTTTTTATTGAGGGTATATCTTCAAAATAGTGATTTTTCAAAATGGCCAATGAAGTGTTCATGTAAAAAAAATCCCCAGAGAAAATGCATTAATAAATGAATACTATGAAACCGTACACTGATTTTATACCCCATATTTATGAGAATAAAGGTGGTCATGAGCTATAGGATATCAAAAAGTTTTTTCTCTATATACTGTAAGATTAGGAAAGACAAACAACTTCACTCCAGATGTTGTGAACTACATAATGCTTTGCCAGCATTATGGCTGTGTAAGAGCATTGTATGAGATGTAGTCCACAATCTTTGGACTGCTGAAGGTTACCTATGCCAGGTGTAGGTTAATAGGAAAAATATTTCTCACTGATTGAGCTGAGTAATGTCAACAGAGAGAAGTCAAATACAAGAATACCCAATAAAGTTTCAAGTTGTAAAAAGAACACCTGTGTTATTGCTTAGATTACTATGATTTCTTCATTTAAAAAAAAAAAAAACAATGATGAAAATGCCACTGTATTTAACTGTTAGCCTGAATACAGCGGTGAAACTACAGAAGCTGTAAAGGTTGCTATTGGGACAGAGTCCTGGAGTCCCACCTGTCAAAGGAAGATCCAGTATTTGCAGGACCCCTCTTTGCAAAAACAGTATATAGTATATTGCCAATTTGGCACTATATCAATAAATTATTATTATTATTATTATGCCTGAAGAGGAGGTGGTTTTATCAGAGTCTATACTGATGTTGGATAACAATTGGATAAATTCTTGCAAAAACATAATATTCAGGGATATAGCTTCTTGATCCAAGGAGAGAACTGACTGACATTCTGGGTTCAAGAAGGAATAACTTGTTGCAAAATTGGAAGCGCTTCAAACTGTTTTTTCCCCTTCTTTTGGATCAACAGCAAAAACCGATGTGAATAAGGCTTAGCTATATAACTATGAAACCCTGTTAATTCCTTACTGTGTTTATCTCCACTAAGTAAGAAAAAATAACCTGTTTTTCAACTATTAAAACTAGACTTGTGCACAAATCATTTTTCACCTGCAATAAACAAATAAAATTCCTGTTAATCTATGCCTGAACAAATCGATCTGTCCCAGATGGATCAATATGTTCGGGCGTAAATTAACAGCAATTTGATTTGTTCATTGCAGGTGAAAAAGATTTGTGCACAAGTCTAATAAAAACATTTTGTGTTTTACTTTATCAAAGAATATACTAAATTAATATTTTGTTATGTGTAGAATACTCTTTAAACCAACTCATGAAATCCAAACCTAATAACCATTCAAACACCTGTGGGAAACAATGTACTGGACAGCTTTTATTTTTTTCAAAAACTATACATCACTAAATTATTTTTCAGAACTTGACTTTCTTTTGAGTTTACTTGCAAAATATACCAAAGCTTTCTAATTTCTCTGAAATCTATCCTTCAGCTTGCAGTGCTTCTGCATTGAGAAAAGTCTTGAATCGATTTAAAACATTTAAACTCCAATAAAATGCCTAGTAAATAGGTACAAAATCCTATATTGGGCATTTTTTTCCATACCTAGGTTCTCTTCAGTGGATACCTATTGGGTTTTCACTCAAACAGTTGCCCTGATGGGACTTAACCACCTCACTACCTAAATCAAGTATAACATTTTTATTTTTATGTAGTTTGCAGAATGAAATTTAGTCCATAGAGCCTCATTCATCCTCATTTACACTCTAGTTCT